GCTGAGACAGGCCTCCCATGTATCGTGCATTCACTAATGTATCTTTATGTACGTTGTGACCACTAAAGGTGGAGTTGTATTGAGACGAAAGTTTTGAATCATTGATATTATGCTTTGTTTTGTCTTCAGCGTAGCTTCAGCCAAATATAAAACCAATCACTAATTATTCACTCTCACAGTTTTGGGTTTTAAACTAACTATTAATACATGTTTTGGCAGTCTGTGAACACTTACATTTTTGGCAGTCTGTGAGCACTTACATTTTGGCAGTCTCTGGGACACTTACATTTTGGAAGTCTGTGGACACATACATTTTGGCAGTCTTTGGACACATACATTTTGTCAGTTTCTGGGACACTTACATTTTGGAAGTCTGTGAACGCTTACATTTTGGCAGTCTCTTGACACTTACATTTTCGCAGTCCCTGGACACTTACATTTTGGCAGTCTGTAAACACTTACATTTTGGCAGTCTGTGAACACTTACATTTTGCCAGTCTGTGAACACTTACATTTTGGCAGCCTGTGAACACTTACATTTTGGCAGTCTGTGAACACTTACATTTTGCCAGTCTGTGAACACTTACATTTTGGCAGCCTGTGAACACTTACATTTTAGCAGTCTGTGAACACTTACATTTTGGCTGTCTGTGAACACTTACTTTTTGGCAGTCTGTAAACACTTACATTTTGGCAGTCTCTGGTCACTTTCATTTTGGCAGTGGTGTGCTAAGGTAAATTCCGCCCGTGCGGTGTCAAGATCCCCCCCCCCCACTCCATTCACGAAAAAACCCGTAGTTGGCTGAAAATGCTGCCCCTCCAGGTAAAGGAAAAAGTTCCGACCGGAGCGGACCAATCTATCCACCCCCTTCCTACGCCACTGCACTTGGTTAACAACGCACCCCACATTAATCTTAATAGCAGCCGAATCATGTGTGTGTGATCTGGTCTACTTCACAATGCTAAAACCCCACCCCACTCCCATAAAACCAGGTTACTTCACTATCGTTTGCAGGACGCTTTAAGATCTATTGAATGCCATGCAATTATCCCTTTATACATTGTAAGGTTTGCCCCGATTTGAGCTCATCGAGATTAATAAGAAACGATTACCGCAAAGTCACGGCGTCATTAACATATACTCTATATTAGCCTACACAATCCATAGTTTTTACTTGTTTAATACCGCTTCACAATGCCAATTGAATAGTTCAAACAGTGAACGCATTTTAAACTGCGCATGTCTGAGCTTGCGTCATTCTTTGACGCTCCAGAGACCTATCTGTGGCTCGTGGGCGGCTGTTTCCTTTCCGAAATACACTGGCATCACAGGCGACCAACCCTCCTCAATCAATGATTTATCTATAAGCCAGCTATGACTACCGGGTGTGAGTGAATGAACACCGCCAAGTTAAAGCTGTCATTTATTTAGCAATATCACATCTAAAAGAAAATGCACATCCTTTGTGGCAGTAGGAGAGAATTTCTTCAATTTGGTAATGGCAGGATGCGTGTTTTCGCAACCGATCTTAATAATAAAGAAACATTGCCGGATTAAGACATGAAGACGCCCCTAGGCAGTCACAGTTTTTCCTCCCCTGTGGCGTACTTAGTGGTGCGAATTTGGAGATCGACCCGGGGGGGGGGAGCATTATAAGGTTTATATACATATTATATAAGTCGATGTGTGTGTATGTGTGCTTGTGTGTGTGTGTGTGTAGACAGTGTTTCTAAAACTTTTGAGTTTGGTGGACCGGTGGATAATTTTAACAATGCACCAGGGACCGGTGGATACGTTTACCATTGTACAAGAACCAGTGACAGATGTTATTTTTTCTTCCTTGTTATTTGATCATCAATATTGTGTACTATATTTCGAAAGGAAATTAATTACAGACATGGTCAACTTACAAAATACGTTATGCCTTTAATTGTTCCACTTATAAATACTTAATTGCTACACGGAAAGTGTCACCGATTGGACTCATCAAGACGTAACTACGATTAGTGCCGCCTGATCTAAGCCGATTCGCCGCCGCCTATTTGCCACCAGCCGTGTCGCCATCTTTCATTTCGCCGACATCCATTTCGCCGACATCCATTTCGCCGACATCAGTTTCGCAGACTTCCTTTTCTCCGAAATCCATTTCGCTGACATCAATTTTGCCGACTTCCATTTTGCCGACGATGATAAAATGTGTTTAATTCCAAAATTATAATTTAAATACACATAAGAATGAAGTATGTTAAAGTTTAAAGAGACTCTCTCTATGTTTGCCAAGGTCCAAGTACAAATGTATGTTTGTGGCGTTATTATTTTTTTTATGGTCGTCCCCCCCCCCCATGACAAAAGCACCTGAACACAAGCCTTCCAGACTAAAGTCAAATAAAACGTGATCCACTTTTTGAACACCAATGTTAGCGTTAGAGCGGGGGTCCACTGTTCTTTGTGAGTGGATGACCTGAACACGAGAGGATTCCCCTTCATCGCCCCGTGTTCACCAAGTACATTTCGTGTTTAACTATTCACACCGTGCCACCAGACTCTAGAAAAAAAAACATGGCCGGCCACGTCAAACCGATGCACGTTCGCCATATCCTGTACAACTTTTAATGTACGCACGCGAGTACGACTACACCACACTTCCGATTACTCGGAGACGTCCCGGTTTGCGATGGCTCGCATCATCTAGAGCAGAGAATGAATTATGAAAGAATGGTCGGAATTATTTCCCGGTGTATTTTATTATACACCGATGTCATGCTATGATAATTATATAAATTCAAGTCCGTGGGGGTCGGGGTCGGGTAACAAAAGATTCGGATAATCGGCTCTTGGAAAATCGACTCTTTACTGCAGGCCTGCACAACTCAAAATGTAAGGGGGCCGTAACACTGTATGAAAAACTTGTACGGGCCAAAAGAAAATTGGAAAGGGGGAAAGGCTGTTAAGAAAATAATAAGAAGAAAGAATACATTTAGTTACTTCGCGCGCCGCAAAGTGGGTGATGGCGGGCCACACGCGGCCCGCGGGCCGTATATTGTGCAGGCCTGCTCTACTGAATTTTGAGCATCATTCGAATCCCTTCTAAATCTTTAAAAGAAAAGTGATAGTTAATAATAACATAATTTCTATATTTTTTTTTCGGCGAAATGTCTGTCGGCGAAAGGTCGGCGGTGGAGGCGGTGAATGGTCCCACCCTCCTGCCACACGGAGAGCGGAGAAGTTTTTTGCTCCCCCCCCCCCCACCCACACACTTTTTATTCCACACAAAAAAAACTCTACTCATCGTTTGTCGAATATGCTACCCTTAAATATATCTGTATATCAGTTGCCAGCAGGGGCGGACCGACCCTTCCCTTGTTACCCATGTATTTACCCATGTACATGTTCTTACCTAAGAGAACCGCCGCTGTTTGATCATACTATATTATAGTTCATTCAAACCTTATGCAAGTCATTGTTTTTTTCCAAAGCTAGTTCCGTCATTCGCAAACCCTGCTACTGTGTGTTTGAGATCAAACTCTTTCAACCAATACAAACAATGTTATACATGTGCATAACCAATAATTATACAATCTTGTTGGCTGACTGAGCTTGAAAGGTATTATCACTATTTACCACCACGACAAAATGGTCGACCAATAAATCATGAATTCATCATTGGACGATGTCAACCTTGGGGCGAAATCAATCCATTCCTTGCCGATCCAAGAAAATGTCATCTTGTGAATATTTACTAACTGGCTTCTGCTGATAACGTCATGTTGACTCTCTCCTTGCCCCGTGGATTATGGTGCAAACATCGGACTTTGCCCGTATCATTATCTCAACCAAATGGCAACGTTTTCTATGCATCTACTTATTTAATCATTGACATGCTTGAAGCTGGATATGAGATTTTTATCGTGGGGAAAAAAAGCATTTCAGGTATGGGTTCTTAACCGTTTTTTGTTCCATTGATCTCTTCGCCTGTCAAGATAAAGGTCAGCAAAACCCTTCTTAAAAGATTGTTTTAAACTGCAATTTGCCCTCTTATTTATTACTAGAAAATGTCATGAAGCACAAAGGGTGTTGGGAAAACAACGGCAAACATGAAGAAAATACTTTTCATCGAGAGAGAGAGAAATAGAAAGAAGGAAAGAGAGAGGAGGCGAGAGAGAGTGATAGTGAGAGATATATATATAGAGAGGCTGAGAGACATTTCAAGAGGTTGAGATATAGATTAAGAGGAAGAGATTGAGAGAAATATTGAGATAGAGATTGAGAGAGAGAGAGAGAGAGAGAGAGAGAGAGAGATTGGGAGAGATAATGAGAAAGATTGAGAGAAAAAGACAAGATAAATGAATTTGCTTGAAAGAATAGATCAGACCAAAGATAAATGGAAATAATTTCTAAATGTCGTTTAGGACTATTTGGACCACTAGGACCACTAGAACCACCAGGACCACTAGGACCACCAAGACCACTAGAACCACTGGAACCACCAGGTTCACTAGGTCCACCAAGACCACTAGGACCACCAAGACCACTAGAACCATCAAGACCACTAGGACCACCAGGACCACTAGAACTACCAAGACCACTAGAACCACCAAGACCACTAGAACCACCAAGACCACTAAAACCATCAAGACCACTAGGACCACCAAGACCACTAGAACTACCAAGACCACTATGACCACCAAGAAAACTAGAACCACCAGCACCACTAGGATCAATTAAGGCAAAGAGGGGAACAGAAAGCTACCTCACAGATGTTTTGAGCGTAGTTAGCGAAATTCGAGTGTCTATAAAGCCCACGATGTTTGAACGTTTTGAGGAAATCAATGGAAGACATGGGTAGACAAACGCAATATGTTTTTCTCGTGTGGTTTTCTCCAAACCTTGGTACCATTGCTGCGTCGGGTTATTTTGTTGTTGCTGTTGTTCTAATCAACAAGATCAAATTTGGTTTCCACTTAGTTAACCATAAAAGTAAGGAAACACATAATTTTTTTCGTATTTGTCTGTATGTGTACTGGCCACACAGATTACGGTGTACATAGAACATAATAGATGTATGAGCACACAATTTATAACGTAGTTTTAAAACATGACAATCTGTTCATTTGCAAAATTAATTATAGTTACATTTTTAAGAACGACTTACATTACTAACACCACAAAATTATTTGAAACTGATTCAAAATTGGTTTTGTTTTGTCTATTCTTGGTCTCCTTTGCATACTTTATATTTAGTGACACATTTCTAGACTCGACATATTATCCTAGGACTTGATTAGATCTTTACAATAACAGTAGGGTTTCTTAGAAGCCTCCTTTTCACAGTCGGCTTGTCCCTTGTACATAGTGAACCTGTCAATGGCGTCCCCCACCGTCACGTCCAGCGGATTCGTCGTGTTACCGGCACGCAACGCTTCGAAGTAGCCGAGCAGTTCCTTGTCTTCGCATTTGTCGGTTTGAATCGTTCCTTCGTAAACAGCATCGCCCGGGATAGTTTGAATTTTTACTTTGTACACTCGTTTGTCGTCGGAGCCGAGCCTCGGGAGTTTTATTCTGTAAACTTGAAGCGTTTCCTTCAGACGTAAAGCCACGCACAGCTTCTCGGTGCGTTTGGAGTTTATCGCCCTCACAACGACGTCCCCGAGACCCTGGGCCATGCTCGAGTTGGTGGACACTGGCTCCATCTGTTGATGGCCGCACAGGCAGAACTCAGGGGGTATGGGGACACCCTCGCAGGTTCTGCTTTTAGGAATTTCTTTAAACAAGCTGATCCCGTGTTTGCCGGGAACAAGTGGGATGGTCCCTTTGGCTTTAAAATAAATTAAGTCTTGGAGAGTCGCGTGCGTGTCGTAGTGAGTGGTTAGACGCCTCGTGTTAGTCCGTAAGTTCTCGGCAACGTCCGGGTACTTGTCTAGAAACCACCGGGGAAAAGTCAGAATGGCATACGGGGCACGGCTCTCCACCATACCGTTTAAGGTCGGCCTGATGGAGCCCCACCGCGGACCGTGATCGGAAAACGTGATCAGCAACGTCCTGTTCAAGTGTCCCTTGTCCTGCAACGCTTTGTAAAAACGATACGTGAGGTCATCCGCCCGCCTGTTGTTCGTCTGCTCCCCGTGGGTCAGCTTTGTGAAGAACGACATGGCGTAGACGGGCTTATCGGCGAAGGCGTCCATAAACCTGGTCATGTAGTTGAAGTGGAAGTTAATCTCCGGCTGCCCCCCGGCGCAGTGGTCGCCCTCGCGCCACAGATCTTTGTCCTCCTCCATGGCGACACTGATGGGATGGCTGTAGTGATCCGTCGGCGAGAACATGAAACCTTTCTTGGCGAAGTGGAACCCGCCAATGGATGGCTCGTCCTCCGTGTACAAGGTACGGTAGCCGGCCTGGGAGAAATCTTTCCAGATCAAATCGAGGGGGTCCAGATGTTTGGACGATGACCACCAGGCGTGGACCTCGTCATCGTTGTATCCAGACAACAAGGGCAGATAATTGGGGAACGTGTTGATACCCACCTGCGTGTACATGGACAGGTCGAAGGAAGTGTTTCCCTCCATTAGGAACGCGTACGTCCGGTTCATCGCCCTGATGAACTGATGCCTGGAGGTGCCGTCCATTCCAACCATAACCACGTTCAACGTTTCTTTTGGGCCGGCCTCTTTCTGGCGCTTGTTCAGTCTGAGCAGCTCCAGCTCTTTAAGGTCGTCACGTTGCGGAGTCAGGGCGTGGTACGTCCTCGACACTATCTCCGAAGCTTTGTTCTCGCACACGGCCAGCAAAAATTCCGCCCTGTCAGGCAGCTTTGTACTTGCCTTAAACGTGTCACTCCAGCTTCCTAGCTTGGCGGTCTTATCCTTGGCCGGGATCTTGAAAATCTCGCGGTATTTGCAGAATGTAAAATTAGCCACGGCCTTGACTTTTTTACCATCAATGATCAGTTTGTCCCCGTCGACGTAGGTCAGGTCGGGCAGGTAACCGTCACAATCGAACGGCTTCTTGTCCAGCCCCGCGAGACGCATGATGTTAGGGTGGAAGGGGTCAACTTCCGGGTACACGCACGCCGGGTCGTCTCCGTCTACGACAGCAGCCTTCGTGTTCCGCGTGAGCAGCGAGACAAGCCATCCGTTGTCTGTGTCGTTGCGCTGCTCGAAGACGGAAAGCAGATACGGCCTGTCAGGCGTCACGTACCTCTCAAGCAGAACGACGCTAAATCCAAACGTTACCAGCAAGATAAAGACTTTCAGCTTCGGCTGGGCTAAACAATGGCGGTCATCTGAAAGTAAAGACATTTCAAAGTAAATCTAGTGATATTTTCAAGGGCAGTTCCAGACGTAAGTTTCAGTAATGCACACAAATTGAAGGAAAGCTTTGACCGAGTGAGATGTCTTTTAAATACAGATACTGACTTTTTATGTTTTCATGATGTAGTCTACCCGCCACATATGACAACCAACCATATCTCGATTCTGTCTACGTCCACCTACCTGGCACAAAAGACGATCAACCATCTCTCGACTCTGTCTACGTTTACCTACCCACCATGTAAGACGACCATCTCTTGATTCTGTCTACGTTTACCTACCTGTCACATATGACGCCCAACAATCTCTTGATTCTGTCTACGTCCACCTACCTGTCATATATGACGACCAACCATCTCTCCATTCTGTCTACGTCCACCTACCTGCCACATATGACGACCAACCATCTCTCCATTCTTTCTACGTCCACCTACCTGCCACATATGACGACCAACCATCTCTCCATTATGTCTACGTCCACCTACCTGCCACACATGACGACCAACCATCTTTCCATTCTGTCTACGTCCACCTACCTGTCACACATGACGACCAACCATCTCTCCATTCTGTCTACGCCCACCTACCTGCCACACATGACGACCAACCGTCTCGTGATTCCGTCTACGTCCACATACCCACCACATATGACCACAACCATCTTTCGACTCGCTTCGCATGGACAACTTATCAGTTGAAATCTATTTCTTTAAAAACAAAATGTGGGGGAAAGGGAAAAGGGTAAGAAATAGAACGTGTTGAACAAGTCATAAAGGGACAAGATCCAGACAGAGGACCAAGACTGGAACCGAAGACCTAAGTTGACACTCTGTTAGGTCACAGTGTCACGTGACTCATGCTGGGGTTGTGTCAATCATTTGACTCGTGTAACTTCTAATCTCACTAACCAGCTTCACGTGAATAGTTCTATCATGTTCAGGAGTTGATCTTCTTAAATTCCCATTGGCCAAGGAAAAGAAAACAAAAACGAGAACGAGCAAAATACCAATGATATTGCTTGGCAAAAATTAAAAGTTTGTTTGTAAACTTGACACGTCACTGTGACGCCACTTCGAATTCTAACGGGTTAGCAAAGGTGAAAAAGGGAACAAAATACAAAATCTTTGCAAAATCTTTGCAAAATCTTTGAATCATTGCTTCGAAAAGTGCAACATTTGTATGCACTAAAATTAAATTTAAAAAAAAATAATATAACTATTACCATAGTTATAATTTTCAAGAGAATTTTACCTGTATCTTACCTCAATGACAATATAATAACCAGAATGATCAATCAATTATTCATTCTCAATGGTATTTAAACCCTTTACAGAAGTCTGCTACAATTTAATTTTTAGTCCAATTTCTATAAAATAATCCCAGGAGTTTAAAGTTAAAGTAAAAAAAATAAAAAAAATAAAAATTCCACGAACTGGTATAAACAATTTCAACATGTGTTTTTTGAATTGCCTAGTTGAGATAACCGAAAACCAACACATTGTGACGACATGGCATCGAAAACGTAAAAAAACCCAGTGTTAATTTTTAGAAAGATCTCCTGTGGAACGAATAATTTAACGAAAATGGACATTCTTGAACTCTGAGCCAACAAATGGCTAACTAACGAAAATGAATTAAAGAGAACCACCGAATCGTGTAGCTCAAATATTCAACTTTTTCATCAATATTATTTGAAAACTCCTGGCACATTAAGAAATTGAACAGGGAGGAGAGAACATTTGACCACGGCTGTTACTTGGCTCTGGCGTCCAACACAAATTTACCGCTTGCACACGTTCCCGGGCAACATCTTCTATCGGTGGTCATGTTGTATTTCTGTAGGCACAGACCTCTCTAGCTCTGATGTACTCACGCCAGCCGAGTGTTCCTGGGCCTCATTTGACAGACATGTTTCTCAATGGCTTAACCGTGTGGATTAAACTAGCTCTGTTGCTCTTCCGCCTCCTCTTATCAGCACAAAGTTAGGCACAATGAGTGACCATATCAAGGGTTCTTAAACCTTTTCTGTAGCGCCGCATCTCCTCTTGAATTCAAGCCAATTCCCGCCCCCCCCCCCCCCCCATTTCTATTTCAAAGCGTATTTTCCTAATCGCCATGACAGGACTGCCAATACAAATGGAAATAAACACAATTTCTCTATGTCCTCAAGCATCCCCTGATACTGCCCCCAACCCCAGGAGGTTGAGAACCCCTGGGCTACATGGTCTTCACGGCCCCTTTATAATAACATAAGGCTATACATACTTTACACCAATTCTTTTATTTCTTTACTTTAACAATTATTCTGGCAGTCAAGTTGGCACACGTGACATGCAATAGAGCTGCACAGCCGACTTTGATACAATGCTGAATAATTTAAAGAAGGGTTTCTCACCATGCTCGCACGCCCCTCAAGGGTGGGGTGGGTGGCATTTAATGGTGTGAGAGGTAAAGGGGCTACAAAAACAAAGGTGACTTTAGATTTTACTTTGTTTTTTTTAAACATCAATGTTGATCTAATTTTTACAATCTCTTCATCAACATTGCTCTTTATGTAAAAAGTTGTTAAAGTTCTCGTTGCCATTGAAAAATAAGTTAGAGGCCATTTTTGACAATTTTTAATTTTGTTTACTTTTGTAGGGTGTGCGAGGCTAGGTAAAACTATTAGGGTGTGCGAGGCTAGGTAAAACTATTAGGGGGTGCGAGGCTAGGTAAAACTATTAGGGTGTGCGAGGCTAGGTAAAACTATTAGGGTGTGCGAGGCTAGGTAAAACTATTAGGGTGTGCAAGGCTAGGTAAAACTATTAGGGTGTGCGAGGCTAGGTAAAACTATTAGGGTGTGCGAGGCTAGGTAAAACTATTAGGGGGTGCGAGGCTAGGTAAAACTATTAGGGGGTGCGAGGCTAGGTAAAACTATTAGGGTGTGCGAGGCTAGGTAAAACTATTAGGGGGTGCGAGGCTAGGTAAAACTATTAGGGGGTGCGAGGCTAGGTAAAACTATTAGGGTGTGCGAGGCTAGGTAAAACTATTAGGGTGTGCGAGGCTAGGTAAAACTATTAGAGGGTGCGAGGCTAGGTAAAACTATTAGGGTGTGCGAGGCTAGGTAAAACTATTAGGGGGTTGCGAGACTTAGTTAAACTATTAGAGGTGTGGGACTAGTCAAATAATTCGTAGAGAGAGTTGAGAATAGAAATGATTTTGGAAAACAGTGCATGGTGTCACCCCTCCAGACCCCCCTTTGGATCTCCTCTGAGTCGGCTTTTTCTGTTGGCACCCTGGTTGGTGGCAACCCGATCTGGTAACAACCTATCCTGGTGGCATCCTGTTCTTGTACTCGGCAACGATCGGTTATGACACAGATTCGTGGTAACTCTATTAAATGTTCATTCCCCCCCCCCCTATTGTTGCGCACCAACCCCCATCTCCACCGCGAGGGTGTCACCGAGGGGACGCCACTGCTTACAATCAAATTGTTTGTGTCCAATTGGAGGGGACGCCGTTAAATCACGACCCGCTGCGCCATTGATAACATGAACGACTCACCATAGGCGAGGGTGGCACCTTGTTTGAATGGCGCCCCGTTGTATTGGCAAACTTTTCTGCTTATACTCTACCCTGATATATATCTATAATTAAGTGTTTGTTAAGAAACCGACAGGAGCTAACTGTGTCGAATATGAATTTGTTCATTTGGTGTGACCCCCGGAACCCCCGAAAGTGACGCTGCTGTCCGTGTGGAAGCTGCGTGTACGTTGATACGCATGGTCTCAATAACAGCGATTCGCGTACAACGGAATGTGTTTGAAGATAAGGACTTATTAAACCACGTGTTTCTCTATGTGAATGTATATTTTACCGGTGTACCATACAGGTATATTGTACAGGTATACCATACTGATATAGCGTACGGGTATATTATTACATGTATATTGTTCAGGTATACCATACCGGTTAATTGTACAGGTATGCCATACTGGTATATTGTACATGTATACAGTACCGGTATATTGTACAGGTATACAGTACCGGTAAATTGTAGAGCAGCGGTTCTCAACCTGTGGGTCGCGACCCCTTTGAGGTCGAATGACCCTTTTTCAGGGGTCGCATAAGACCATCGGAAAATACATAAACTCAACAGTTATGAAGTAGTAACGAAAATAATTTTGTGTTTGGGGGTCGCCACAACATGAGGAACTTTATTAAAGGGTCGCGGCATTAGGAATGTTGCGAACCACTGTCATAGAGGTCTGTCGTACAGGTCCTCTCACAAAAGGAACATTACCCCACAAACAAAACAATTCCATAAAAAATGCTATCAATGTTCACCGGTCGTAATCTTCCAAGTGTTTACTCCGTCAATTGCATGCTGCGAAAACTAGTTTCAAAACCAGCCTTGCTCTGATGTATTTTTTATAGTATTATATTAAAAATGTAATTATACAAAATAAATTAACAATAAGTGTGTTGGACTGCGATACACGTGTTACCGTTTATACGTTTAGGTCGCACAAGTTGATAGTTCGCACCAGGGGATAGGTGGCACCAGTGGATAGGTCGCAGTGGATAGGTCGCGCCAGTGGATAGGTCGCACCAGTGTATATGTCGCACAATTGGATAGGTCGCACCAGTGGAAGGTCGCACCAGTGGAAGGTCGCATCAGTGGAAAGGTCGCACCAGTGGATGTGTCGCACAATTGGATAGGTCGCACCAGTGGAAGGTCGCACCAGTGGAAGGTCGCATCACTGGATAGGTCGCACCACTGGATAGGTCGCACTAGTGGATAGGTCGCACCAGTGGATAGGTCGCACCAGTGGATAGGTCGCACCAGTGGAGAGGTCGCACCAGTGGATAGATCGCACCAGGGGATGTGTCGCACCAGTGGATAGTTCGTAACAGAGGATAGTAGCACCAGTGGATAGGTCGCACCAGTGGATAGGTCGCACCAGTGGATAGGTTGCACCAGTGTATAGGTCGCACCAGTGGATAGGTCGCACCAGTGGATAGGTTGCACCGGTGGATAGTTCGCACCAATGAATAGGTCGCACCAGCGGATAGGTCACTTCAGTGGATAGGTTGCACCAGTGGATAGGTTGCACCAGTGGATAGGTCGCACCAGTGGATAGGTTGCACCAGTGGATAGGTCGCACCAGTGAGTAGGTCGCAACACAGGATAGTAGCTCCAGTGGAAAGGTGGCACCAGTGGATAGGTGGCACCAGTGGATAGGTCACACCAGTGGATAGGTCGCAACACAGGATAGTAGCTCCAGTGGATAGGTCGCACTGGTGGATAGGTCGCAACAGAGGATACTAGCGCCAGTGGATAGGTCGCACCAGTTGATAAGTCGCAACGGAGGATAGTAGCGCCAGTGGATAGGTCGCACCAGTGGATAGGTCGCAACAGTGGATATTAGCCCCAGTGGATAGGTCGCACCCTTACTTTGGGGTTGTCAAAGCGGTATTTGCGGTTGACTCGCAGACTGGCCGCACCTTAGTTTTAAGTAGTATCAGGACCTTTCTTGACGTAACTACAACTAATACTTGTAAAACGTACGAAACCAATAATCTTCATAACAGCTTGAAAACTGAAAAGCAGTTGTCATAAACTGCGTGACCTTTAGTAAACATAAAAAGAACCCTCACCCCACTTATTAGGCGACTGGTCGACCGATACGCCGCCTTGGACTTGAGACTTGAGATCCACGGGGTGTAGTGCGGACAGGTGGCACCCCCGGACTGGTATCGAAATGTTGTTTGAAAAATGGGCGTCATCTACGAGAGTATCTACGGTAAATAGATTTACATCGGTGAAGAAGCTAACAATTTTTAGGAAGTAATACATCAATGCCAGGCTGTAATTAAAAGACGAAATATCAATGTAAGATGTATTCATCTCTAGAAACAAAACGCAATTTTTAAACGTCAAAGACAATTTAATTTTTTTTTTTTTTTTATGAAAAGATTTTAATTTCAAGATGTTGAAAAACAGCATCGACCAACCTGTCATGTTGCCAAGCCAATCAGCCGAGCCTTTCATGCACGATGAAAGCTTAATCTCATGGGTCATTGTGTGCGTGTGTTTGTCAGCATTGGATTGCGCTATATTGACCATAGCATCAAACCAGATTTCTTCTGAGCCCATGTCGAGAATGTTGACCATTTCAAGGGAGACAAACACCCAATGCAAAAACACGAGTTGATTCACTCAAGGTGCGGGTTTTTTTTTTACATTTGTGTTTGTGGAGCGGGTATTATATTTAGGATATAATCCACATACAGGTACGATAAGGTGAATTGGATGGGGGGTAAGACAAGTACGATGAGGTGAATAGGATGGGGGAAGAAAGAAGGTACGATAAGAGAATTGAATGGGGGGGGGGG